ATTAATTCCTGATAAATTTCCTAGTGGTGCTTAGTAGCCTTTTAATACTGGCTTATCATATCATGTCATATGTTTGTTATCATGTACCTTACTGAGTGTAGAACATAAGATTCTTTAAATATTATTATAGATTGAGTATCTTCCACTATCAGTTTTAATTATTGCATAATCAATATATGTGTCTCACTGAGATAACATGGAAACTTGGAATCCCAAGTTAAAATGTCATGAAAAACCTTTTCATCTTTACACTAGCTAACAGTCTCAGGCTACGTAGAGACTTCCTCCATTTTAGGAAAGATCAATTTTAATTTTCAAATGCCTGCCTCTAGAATTTTACTCATTTATGCATTGCTTACATGTATATATATAGTAAATCACTAGTAGTTCAGCCCCTTCACCTTAGCCTTCCTTGTAAAGATCTATAAGATCATACTTCTGTTTAATATGTTTATTTGTAGAAATTATAACCTCATTACAAAATCTTAGAAATTATATAATTTATATGGTTATAAAAAATTACGGTTTCTTAGTAATTTTAATCCCTAATTGCTTTACCTTCGCCCTCATCCCTATTTTTCCAGAAAGATAAGTAAATAGATTTTCTAATGCTTTCTTCCTTTCTCCTTTTTTTTTTTTTTCTAAAGAAATGCAGCCACATTTTTTTAAGAACATTGTTTTGACAGGAGGAAATTCCCTTTTCCCGGGATTTAGGGATCGGGTTTACTCAGAAGTTCGATGTCTCACTCCAACAGATTATGATGTTTCTGTTGTGCTGCCTGAAAAGTAAGTGTTGGCTTAGAAACAAAATATGGAAGTTGGTTTGTAGATAAAATGGTCTATACGGAGACTTGAGTTTAAAGCTAGTTCTACCACGTCGGCAGGTTTATTTCACGTTTGGGATTCTCATTTTGCTTTTCTTAAAAAATGAAATGATAAACGTAACATTTCAGTTATGCAGATTACCAGCCATAATGGTTGGTACATAATGGATACCCAGTTAATATAAGATCATTTCCCTATAGTAAACCAGTCTTCATTCCTGAGATTTTTACAGGCAAAGCAGTTAGGTTATTAATGTATTTGATTCATCTGAGATGTGTCATTTCTTGAGAGTTCCTATCAAGAATAGAAGTTAAAGAATTTAACCATTGAGATAAGTTATGTCAATTCATAAGTTGTTTTGGGATGTTTTAAAGTAATTTAAAATAAACTTTTACATTTAACTAGCCTTTTACCCCCCTAATTCAGACTGTTTTATATATACCCTCTACCCTGTTTTGTGAGAAGAAGTAGATATCATTTCTACATTGGTGGTAAAAAAAATTAAGGTAGAATTTTAGAGCTGTGAGAAAGGCTTACAGAGCATCCTGTTCCGCATACTTTGTTAATAAACAAGGGCTCATGAGTTGGCAAAGGCCTTATGATAAGTTAATAGTAGTCACCAGGCTAAAATCCATTTCTCTTTACCTGGAGGCAGGTGTTCTTACCAAATATATATCTAAATAATGCCCCTCTCCCCTCCACTGTTTTAAGTGGCAGAGTTGTAAACATGAGCCCACGTACGTGACTTCTAGAGTTTTGTTTTAAAGCTAAAGTAGAATTTTTTCAAAGTTAATAGCAATTAATAAGAAAGCCTTCATCTGATCACTTAATGTTACAGCTATCAGATAAAAGAATAAACTTAGATATTGGAATGATTTTTTTTATCAGCCTTTATTGTCAAATACTCTTTAGAATATGAAGCAGTTGGATTTTTATCCTAAATTTTAAGTGTAAGTCATGCACACGTTACAGGCCAAGGGATCTGCAGAAATAGTTTTTATTTCTTTATTCATCAAATCTTTATTGTATATGTACTGTTTTAATAGATAGGTGAGCTCTGATTTTACTTACTGCTTGTATCCTACCCTATAACTATTTATCAGGCATTGTGTTTTCTAAATGTCTCATTTATTAGAGGCAACAGAATATAGCAGCAAAAGCACAAACTGTGTGAAAACAGTTTCAGATTAAATCCTCGATGAACTCTTAACTTCTCTGAACCTCATTTTCCAGATTTATAAAATGGGAGTTGGAATAGCTATTTTATGGGTTTCTGTGTGAATTAATGAGATGACTTATCTTTGCCACATACAGAAGTTAGACTCAGTTATGACAGTGTTTTCCTTTTATGCATTTTTGATCTTTTGCTTGTATTCTTGTTTTTTGTTAGAAGTATAAGGCCCATAAATACAGGGCACAGGGGAAAAAAATTAAAACTTACTTGTGGTGGTGACCACGGTTTCTTTCTGAGTTTGCTTTACTCCTATTAAGTTTATGCTTATTTTCACACATTAAATGATTTGCTGTTAAGTCAAATTGGGTAGAGACTGCCACATTTTTGTTACTAATTAATGTTTCTGTCATTTCAGTTCTGTAAAATCATCTGGGTTCATTTATTTGACCTTTATTTTTAGCCCTATTACTTATGCCTGGGAAGGTGGAAAATTGATATCAGAGAATGATGATTTTGAAGATATGGTGGTAACAAGAGAAGATTATGAAGAAAATGGACATAGTGTCTGTGAAGAGAAATTTGATATTTAAGAAACACTTCTGAAAGTTTTGAGATTGTAACAAAGGTTTAATTTCAGTGTTCTTTTTAAAGGAAGTTAAGGACCTGGGTTACCTTTCATCCTAAGATAAAAGTCTTGCACTTATGTAAATTCTTTGATCCATGGCTAATTTTCAGAGGTTTCTTAGCTAAGTTGTTAAGTAGACTGTAACTCAGCCCAAATTTTCACTTAGGAGCTAGACTTACTATAACAATGCTTATGCTGTTTCTGAGAGTAGGTTATCTTTCATTAGAAGATGAAAGAGTGAACGTGTTTTAATTCTTCAGAGTTGAAAGCACAAATTTAGCTGTCTCACTGGTTAGCTTTCCTTAGAAGGTAGTTTTGAAACTAGGAATTGGCCCAAGTGTTTTCTTTCTTTCTTTTAGAACTAAGTATTTTATTTTTAAATTGTTCATTTTTATTTATATATACTTAAGTTGGAGAAACTAAACCTGTCTGTGTTTAATTTTTTTTTAATGTTTATTTTTTACTTAGTGTAAGTTTGAAAGAATGGAGACCAAAGCCAATTTATTAAAGTATTTTTGGTCACTACTGTGTTGGAGAAATATATTATTTCACTCATAAAAATACTGTACCATTTTTAGGATAAACAGAAATTTGAAGTTAACTTGGTATTATTAAAACTCTTGATACAAATGTTAGTGTTTAGTTTTTAAAACTCTTACACAATCAAAGTAAGCGTATTAAGGTATTAAGGCTACAGCTTTCCAGTTTAAGGAAACAGCTAACAGAAACATTAATGAATGGGTCAGGTAATGAATGGATTGCTTCTCTGATTGCAAACAGTAGAAACTCATTTGGGCTGTACTGAGCAAAACAAATTTTATGAGCAAGACAGAGGACAGCTCATAAAAATCTAAGAAAAAGCTGGACCAATAGCCTTAGGAAGAATAAAAACCAGGATAACTTAGGGATCTAGGTAACAGTAACTGAGGGACAATCCTTGTAAGGCCCTGCCATCAAACTATCTCTGCTTCTGTATTTTCAGTCTTGTGTCACTGTGCTCATGAATCAAATTTCCACCAGTCTCTACCCTAGCTAGGGTCATGCACCTACCCCATGGCTTCAGGGGCTTTGACAGCCTTATTAAGATAGCCTAGAGTCAAAGAAGGTGGTTTCCCAGAGGAAAGATAAGGTGAAGTGACAGATGCTGGGCAGGGTGAAGGAGCTGTCTACTACAATTATGTTTGGATTATAAGGACAGTCTCTGACTTAACAATGATTTCTTAATGAAGCCTTAATGATTCTTCAACCTACAATGGTGCAAAAGCAGAATGCATTCAGTAGAAACCATTCTTCCAACTTTGAATTTTGATCTTTTCCTGGGCTAGCAGTATGTGATATGTTAACTCTTTTGTGATGCTGGGCAGTGGCAGTCAGGCATGCGATCATGAGGGTCAACAACCAGTACGCTTACAGCCATCCAGTACCCATGCAACCATTCCATGTTTTTCACTTTCAGCACAATATTCAATAAATTACATGAGATATTCAAGACTTTATTATAAAATAGGCTTTATGTCAGACAATTTTGCCCATCTATAGGCTAAAGTAAGTGTTCTGAGCATGTTTAAGATAGGCAAGGCTAAACTATGATGGGGTAGGTGAGGTGAAGTAAATGCATTTTTGACTTATGATATTTTCAGTTTATGAAGATCTGTATTGGGTTAGGGCCTGTCGGTCCTAGACTTGATGAGCTAGTTGTACTCCTGGTTATTACAGAGTTGCAAATTGATTGTATTTGTGTGATACCAAAGTAGTAGCATATATTCCGTAGAGAGTGTAGCAAAAAGATGCTGGTGGCATAAAAGAAGTTTTTGCAACCATACAGTGTAACAGTGTAACTGTGCTAGAATTTCAAGGTGATGCAGTTGGAGGTATAAAGGCAAGTCCCCATTTAAAGGGCTTTCCTTGACTTACCAGGACCTCATTTTGGACAGGCAGAATATTATCATTGCTAACCACGGTGTTTTTCATATGAAGAACTGTGGCATTCCTCAAAGCTGCATTCCCAAAATATGCCCTAACTGGAAGTCTCCTATTATGTTTTGCTGAAAATAATGTGTCTTTGCATATTTACTACAGTAAACTAATTTCTTTATTCAGTGTAGTTCTCATAGTGTTAACTTTTGAGACACTAAAAATCCATTTGTGAAATTAATGAACACAGATCCTAATCCTTTAGCATTGAAGCTCCCATCAGTTTTAACACCTGCCTAATTTTGAAACTTTGTTGCTAGAGATAATATTTTAATATACAGTAAGTTGACTTCAAAGAGGACATTTAACATTAGCTCTAAATAATAACAAAGGTATCTATTATTTTGGAAAGATATTAAAAATCTTAATTTGAGATTCATAGAAGTAGAGAACTTAGGCACATTAGAGTTTATGATTTTTTTTTATTGCAAACTGCATGCATGGAAACAATGTTCCAGCATTGGCCATGCATAACATATACCTTAAGACAATACAGGATTAGGATCTACATCAAGGACTAATTAAGATAGGATACCCTCTCAAACACTTTTCTATCTGCGTTTTGCATTTTTTAATTCAGTGGTCAGTGGACATAGTAAACCAACCATGTTCACCTACTTCTCTACCTGTCCCAAATCCCTTTAAACATGGAGGAATGCACAGGGAACACTTAATTCAATGCCATTTGTGATACATTATTTCTCAAGCTGGGTTGGTGGGCACATGGGTATTCATTATATTAGAATCTCTATTGTGTTCATGACATTGTTCATATTTTCGTATTACAATTTGATAGAAGAGTAAATCTTTAAGTGGGCTCTAGGAAACAAAGAAAGATGCCACTGATAAATGTGGAGGAATTTCTAAAAGATGGAAAACAAATGGGATTAGATTGTTAGAGAAACAAGAAAACCTATGCCCAGGTCAGGGCAGGAGAAAACTAGTAAAGACATAAGAACGATTCCAGAGGCATTTTAATTCAGGACAAATAGAGAAGGAAATCATGGATAAGCCATTAAAAGAATGAACTGGAATCAGCTGAGCCCTACTCCCTTTCTTAAAATTGATGTTCAGCGGTAAGAGAGTTGAAGTATAAGGGTTGGAGAGAAACAGAATAGAACCTGAAATAATGTCATATCTGCTAAGAGCATCAGTAAAAAAAAAATAATTTTTTTAAGGAAACACTTGATTGTAGCTCTGATCTCTGGCTAAAGACAAGAGTTCGGACTTACTAGAATTCTGACAGGGCAGGGCTCCAGGGAACTTAGCACACCTTTCTCCTGCCAGGAAAGTCACCATAATTGAACTCAGATTCACAGACAGGTCAACAGGAATTCATAAGTGGGAAAAAAATGAACAGATAACCAAGCATTAAACATTTGAAGGATACTTAACACCCTAAAAGTGGCACCAAACAACAATCAAGAACGAACCCTTAAGGAATAAAATAAAAGAAACCTTGTAAGTAATACTCTCTTAAGAGATTGGTAAGGCAGTTGCATCTATTGCAACAAGAACAGGTTGCTATAACAAAGACAGATACTAGAAATTAAAAATAGGATTTCTCATGCTTACTTGATGAGTTGAACTGCAGAAAAGACACTACTAAAGACTGAAAAACTAAGCTAGGGGAATTTTCCCGGAATGTAGTGTAAGTGAGCAAGCACTGGGATGGCAGCGAAGGAGGCTAAACAACATCCAGTGTATAAGCTATGTTGGCTAGTGATACAAGAGCCTTCCTACAGAAGAGGCCTTTTGAAAAGCCTTCACCTGGCACACAAATATCCTCCCACTTGGGGCCTATTCTGAGATGTCCATCCACATACTTCTTTCCTAAAGCTTCTAGTTCCCAGGTTTCTTATCCTGTGGTTTTCAAGTCTCTGATCCTCTAGTCAAACCATTAGCTGTCATCTCCAATCATATCTTTATGCAAATTGAACAACTAGAAATGCTGCTCTCAGTTCTGCTCTCTGGGATCACTTCCTTTCCCAGTGCAGGTTAGTCTTGCCCAGTGGCGTGCCATGTCAAGAGGAAGTGGTCTATACAAGATTGGATGCCAGATGGTCAAGTTAATTACATGAGCTCACAGAGCATTTACTCTTACTGCACTGTTTACCCTTCCGTCAACTGACATCTGACCTCGTGGAGGTTCTCTTAAGACCAAAGAGAAAAAAATTCAAACCTGGTTTATAGGTGGTTATACAGGATATGGCTGGCACCAGCCAGAAGTACAATGCTGGCATAGATGAAATGTTGAATTATTATACCTGTAAATGAAGAGTTGCCTAATAGTATCACTGGTCACAGAGTTGTTAAGTGACAGAGTCGGAACTGCAGTAGCAATTTTTTGGTTTTTATGTTCAAAAATCTTGTTAGCACACAAGGAAGTGCATAATAAAAGTACTTCCAAATCCATCTGTAGAGAAGAGAGAACAAGGAGGAAAAATTTCCATAAAAAAGTTCTCAAGAATGACTTTCAGTCTTGAACATTATTTATTTATATAAATTTAAAGAGAAAAGTTTTATCTCAACATTATCTCTTCAAGTTAAAAAATCTTTTATTTACCTGGATAGTACCTGAGAATATGAATAATCTAAGAAATTTAAGCAGAGTCTTAAGCACTATGAATCAGGATGCTAATTGTCACGAATATACGTTACTGAATATTCTAACAGGAGGTAAGCTTTTCAGTGATTGGAGATGGATTTTATTTGTATAGAGAAAAAAATACTTTGCCCATAATAAGTCCCTCAAAAAGGGTTAGCCTAAAATTGAGTGACAATGCCCTTGGAAATTCTTTTTAAGCCTAATAACTGTATGGAGCTGTCACTAGGTGGAGTGGCACTGCTGGGATGGGAAGTTCTCTTTAGGAATTAATGCTTCAGAACCTTCAAAAAGCCATACAGTAGAAGCCAATTTTTCCTTGTAAACAAGTTTAATGGACAGTAGTGTATATGGTGATCAAAATAGGGAATGTTATTCCTCCACTAGGGAATGTTGTCATTCAGTTTAATTAAAAAACCTTTCAAATATTGCTGAACAACTCTTCTATTTCTATTTCTTAGTTGGACTTCACCATAATCTAGGGAACTCGCTAACATTTTCCCTTCTGAACCCAAATAGGTCAGGTAGTAAAACCAGGTCTCTGACTCCAGAGTCATACCCTTTTACCTATTACACCACACACTCCCTTGTACCTTTGATATTTCTGGTCCTATCTTATAAATACAACTCTATGCATGTATTTTTTATTCTAGAGATTAAAAGCAAAACAAAACTAAGGCTCAGAAGGAAGACATTTGCCTAAGGTTATAAGTACTCTTCTGAGCAGCAGATCCAGGGACACTAATATCTTTAACGCATTTCTCAATGTGCCAGCCGTTCACAGTGAAAGCAACCAATTCCCCACCTGATTCACATGGAACATTAAAGTGAAGAATTTTCTAATAAGGGGACCCCCGCCCACACACACACCCTTCAAAAGGAGGGTTTGGCTCCATGTTTCCAGTATTTTCCTGTCTTTGTAGAACCATTATCTCAGGTCTTTTACTGGAAGTATATTAATTTCCTCTCCAACTCAAAATAATGACACAGATTAGGACAGTTTTATCTTCTAGTGTCAGAATTGTCTTACTTTGTTTTTTGTTTTGTTTTAAATGGCAGGAACTCAGAATTCATCTATCCAATGCCCTTATTTTAACATAACATCTGAACATTTGGACTAACAGTTTATCCACAAAGTAAAAGGAAACTTTGGAAAAAATATAAATATATGTCAATAAGGGCCTTTAGTATATTCTCTGAAGACAGAGAATAAATAATGTTGATTCTCTAACTCAGTGGTTCTTACTGAGCTTGGGCCATAATCCTCTTTGGGAATCTGGTGAAAGCTATGGTTTCTCTTCCCAGAAAAATGCCATAAGCATATATACATAAAACACTCCGTACAATCTCAGAAGGTACACTGTACTTCAGCACCCTGAAATCTTTTCACAGAATCTTAGTTGAGAACTTAGACTCTAGGCATTCAAATTCAAGACAACTGATAAGAGTTTTTGTACAAAAAGATAAAACTGATGACATAAGTATGTATTTTTTCCAGTACATGATATACGCTTCTCTTTCCTTGTGATCAAGGCATAAATTAAGACCACAAAAGAATATATTTCTGTGTAATTTTCAACAGGGATTGAATCCTCAACCTATGTCACATTGGAAGAATGATACCATAAAGTAAACTCAACAACTTACAGAGGAGAGAAGGAGGGAGGGAGGGATGAAAGAAGAAAGCCAAAACAGAAAGAAGAAAACCATAAAATACCATATGGACTAAAAAAGAACTACGGAAGGCAAAAATCATGATTTTACATATTTGTGAACTTTAAATTTGTGGCTTTTAAAATCTTCCACTTTATAAGTCTTACTCACATGATTCACAGCATTTAAGTTACAGTAGCCTAAGGGGGTAGCTTAAAAATAATATATAGTAAGGAAAATGGGTGCTTGCTTCAGAGAACTCATGTTTGAAATGTTCTTTTTTTTGTGGAAAAAAATTCTAAAGAAATTAACTGTACCAGATCCCTAACAATAGCAGCACATTTAATAAGAGATTTTAGCAGCATTATAATTAAATGAATCAGCATATTTAACTTGTATTCCTTTTTAAAGTTAAAAGCATCCCTAACTTTTTTTTTTTGGATCTACTCTCTTAGCAACTTTCAAATATAAAATACAGTATTATTAACTATAGTCATTAGGCCGTACATTACATCCCCAGGACTTATTTATTTTATGACTGGAGGTTTGTACTTTTTGACCACCTCCTTTAACATATTTTAAGCATGATTACACATAATTTCACTTACAATGCTTAGAGGCGTTCCTGTCTCTGAAGTGTAAGATGGCAGTTTGAGAAAACCATTCAGAGGAATTCTTTGTATTTACAGATTATAGTTTCTTCTCCCAGAAATGTTAATGCAAAGCTTCTGGATGGTGGTTTTGAAATTCCTTAATTAATTTCTTTCAAAGTGATATTGGAGTTACTATTAATCTCTAGTGCCAACTGGTGAAGGTATTGACTTGTCCTTTCCTTTTGTTTTTCAAATTCCTTGTATGTTAAGTGTTGGCAAAATGTGAAGCTTTAAAAAAAAAGTACAATTAGAAAAGCAAGTTGAAAAAACTTAAAAATGTACTTATCCAAATTGGCCATAAGCTGGACTTATTTTTTTCCAAAATACGGTAGATAATATTAATTATGCTCATATTTTCTTTGCTTCAGAGTAATACTGTTTCTTTACACATGCTCTATCCTTATACATAGTCTTATTTTACATATATTATTATTTTTGATCTCCAAAATAAGCCCATGAAGTAGGAGAACCAAGGACTACTATCCCAGTTTCAAGATGAACACACAAGGAATTAAGTGACATGGTAATAAATTGGAGGTGCAGGGGAGGAAAAAGTTTTCTTTGATCTTCTTAGGGTCCCTGGCTGGGTTTGACAAGTAAACTGACAAAGACAGATAAAGAGGAAAAGAGCATACACTTAATCTGTTTCACGTGACATGGGAGCCTTCATAAGGAAATGAAGACTCAAAGAAACAGACCTATGTACTTGTATGCTAGGTTTGATGAAGGCTGCACAGTCCTGGAGGAATGTGATAGGTCAAGCAGCATGACATAATTGTGATAAACTAGGGGAATCTTAGCAAGCCCTGTTTGTTCAGATCTTCTTGGTGTCCTTTGTCTTCAGAGATAAGAATACTCCTTTCTCTGGGTATAGGGAGGGCATCTCTCATACAGGGTTGAATAGCCTGCTTCAGGGATGAAGGGTGAGGAGGGGGTAGGTCAGAGGGATCTTCCTGCTTTTGCCATTTTCTCAAACTCCTTCAGCTTCAAATAGTGGATGTGTCAAGTACTGTATTTTGGGGTAGTGTGTCCTGAACCCTATCAGAAGTATGTTCAAAACATGAACAAAGAATTTCATGAAAATGACCACTGTTTTTTCACTGCTCTGTGAGCTGTGTTAGCCTGTTCAGTCAACCAAGACTCTGCCTAAGCTGATCTACTGAAGAGGATGCCCTAGGGCTCCACGCATATCAAAACAATCCTCTACTAGGGTTAACCTTTGAAATCCTTAAACCCATTAATGTTAAAGAGCTTGCCTATCTTCACTATGATGGCCTTCACTTAAACACACCTATGGTGATACTCTGAAATTACACTGCCTCTGAAAACTTAAAATTCGACACCCAACTCTTTACTGAGAATCTATTATCTTTCATGTAATAACATAATAATAGCTTACAATGAATGCTTACCATGTGTCAAACTTTTTGTACCTTTTCTCATTAAATCCTCAATGTTCTAAGGTGTAGGTACTATTATTATCAGCCCTGCCTTATTGATAAAAAAAAATAGAAGGTTGGACTGCATGGCTAGCAAGGGGCTGAGCTAGGATCTGAACCTGGGACTGTGTCCCATTCCCAGGGCTTGGGGATCTTTACCACTACACTATACTGCCTTTAGCTCTGTTACAATTCTCGTCAGTCTCTGAACATCAACCACTGATGTGCTGTTTTTCTTTGTTCATCATCTCTTTTTTCCCATCCTGAGTCAGACACATACATGAACATCTGAACCATTTTCTCACTAATTCGTGTCCTCAAATCTTTTGCATTCTTATCTTTCTGCAAAACTTGATAAAGCAAAATTTCAGATTTTAATCAATGCTTGAATCTACCTTTCACACTTGGATATTCAAGTAAATGAGTTCCGCTGAGAAAAATTATACTGTCCAAATTGGCATCACAAAAATTTGTAACCTACTTCATCTAGGTGCTCAGAGTTACTCATCAATCCATTTATGTGTCTTCTTGCAACTGCTTTTCCCATTTTCCAGTCTATTTCAAACTATTCCCTTTTTCTAATGTCATCCATTCAGTGGTCCCCCTACAACTCTCAGACAATAGGGTCTCTTCCTCCTACTTTGCCAAGGAAAATGGATTCATCACTTTAATGATCTCCTTCAACTTCTGGGAATACACATTTATTTAGATCCACATACACTGTCAACTTTACTCCAATATCCCCACTCTGTTCCAGGCAAACTCTTGGTTCTGTTCCCTTGAACACACTTCTTCCTGCCTCCTCCGGGGCCTGGCTCCATCAGTCATCTCTTTTTATCTTTTATCTTCAATATCCTTTTTCTTCTGCCTTCCTCTCAGCTGGTCATTATGCTCAAATCTCTGGCTTGACTTAGCATTGTCCCAGTTTCTCTCTTCCCTTCTTACCATAGATCCAACCTGGCTTTTGCCTCTGGAGGTGATAAATCAGTTCTTGTTAATTGACTCCAGATAGTCAGGGACAGTCCTGATCTGTTGCCACATGGAATCCTTCTCTTTAAAATGTTACATTTCCTTGGCTTCATGGGCACGACTTCACCTCATTCCCCTCCTAATATTTCTTCTCTATCTCAGTCATAACTTGCTCTTTACTCACCCATTGACTATTAGTGTCCCTTAATGTTTTATCCTGGACTTCTTATATTACTCAACATAGTCTAAATAACCTCAATTTCCACATGTTCCCAGATACTAGCTTTAGTTCATATTTCTCGCCTGAACTTCAAAATTGCACATCCAGTTGCTCTGCTGAAAATATCAGTCAGGATGCCATGCATGTATCTTCAATCAAGGGGCAAAACAGATTCAGTCATCTCCTTGAACATATTCCTCTTCCCCTGTTTTTTATCTGAATTGGTGGTAGTCACCCCATCTGGAAACTTGAGAATTATCTTTGAGTCATCTTTCTCCCTTACCCCTAGATGCAATCAAGTGTTGGTTGCCACTTTTACCTCCTAAATATTTCTCAGACATTCCTCTCCTCTCCATCTCTATTGCCTCTGTCACTGTACAGGCCTAAACGAGCTCTTGCCTGGACTATTGTAGTCTCCTAAGAACACTGCCTCCAGTCCCCTTGGCCAACCCATCCTCGGAACTGCTGCTAAGCACTCTCTATCTAAAATATAAATCTAGACATATCACTGTTTTAAAAATTAAAAAATGCCTACCCAACTGCTTAGTGAATTCCTTAGTTGCTAAACGAGGCTCTTCAAGATCTGTCCTCTATTTCTCTGGTTTCAATTCCTGCCACTGCTCAGCTATAATTTCTAGCCAGTACCTATTTTGCTCAGTGTTCCTCCTGTCCAGAGTATCTTTCCCTTCTCCACTCCCTTGATTTAGCTAGTATCTAGTTCTTTAAGACTAGGCATTATCTCCACAAGCCTAGCCTGGTATCTTCAAACTAGGTCAGTCCCCTTCCTTCAGTCTTCCATAACCTTCTCTGGCTTGAATCTATCCTTATTATATTTTATTGTGATTGATTTAGAAATGGTTGCCTCTCTCATATATCAATTCTTTCTCTGCATTACTTTATTCAACCAATATCTATTGATATCTATATCTAACGTGCTAGTCACTTTGAACATTGGAACATAAACTCACTGCTAGCAGGGGCATTATCTCATACATCTTGTATTTTTCGGTCCTAATACAAAATCTGGCACATGGATATTCAAATAATGTTTAGTGAATAATTGAATGGATGGATGGATGAATATTTGATGTCAGGAACATTTAAAATCAACACAAGAGTTTCAAGTGATCAATTCAAGTATGGGGAAAAGAGCATACAACACAAAACAGAGTTCAATTAAGTTCAATTAAAAATTCAGTTAAGTTGTATACTGATATAGTCTGACAATTTTACTGAATAAGGGATAAACTTCAAGAAGAGACAAAATAGTTAAGCTATTTAGGGAAAAATATTATCAGATAACTCTTCACTTGAAGCACATGGTACTGTGGGAAGCACTTACTATATTCATTATCTCCCTTTAAAGCATAGTGTTGAGTGAATGTTGAATGGAAATAAATATTAAAATGCCTACAATCTCTCCATTTTCCTCAAAAGCCAAAAATAATGAAAAATTGAATGTTAAAAGCTAACACAGTAATGACAGCCAAATGAAGTCTGTCTTGATTAATATAAAAAGATTCCAGATGCTAGGTTCAGAATAATTCGTTAGTATCACTGTTTGACTACATCAGACAGGATGCATGTGGCTCCATACCTGTTGCCATATGCCCTATGTTCAAAGGGAATGAGAGAAAATGGCATCTATTAGCTAAGAAATTCCAAGTAGTTCAGGCGAATAAATGTATACCTATGCTGTGAATGTTTTCCTAGAAATTAGTAATGCCCTAGAAACCTTTTTAAAGAAAGAAATGCTACCTACATTTCTAGTCGGCCAAGTTACTTAATCTCTCTAAGTTTCAGTTATTTTACCTATAAAATGGGATAATAATGGCTATGTAACAGATTATTACATAGAACAAATAATTTCATAAGTCCATGTTAGTGCTCAGCACAGTGTCTCATAGATAGTAGGGCTCAATATTACTGTCAACTAATTTTAAACTTTAATAGTATTTAATATTTAAATAATAACAGCATAATTTAATTTATTATTTATAACAATACTATATTATTAATATAAATACTAAATATTTAACAATCATGAGGTAGATACTATTACTTCCATTTTGTAGATGAGAAAGGTGAGGCACAAAGAGGTTAAATAACTTGCCCAGGCAACTTGGCCCTAGCACCCAAAGTTACATCTGTTACTTTATTTTGTCTCTCACATGATGATCCTAGAAAATTCGAACTTAAAATATTTTACAGTTTAAAGAAATGTGAAATTATGGAATCAGATCAATTGCTACAAGACACTGAGTGAAAAGAATCATGGAGTCTATACAACTGAGCTGGGGAGGGGTTTAGGCTCCTCTATAAAACTTGGTCATTTCCTGGGAAGGGGAGAATAAAAAACAAGAAAGAATTTGAGACTATCTGAAGAAGAGAAAATAGAGCATGTAGGAGCAAGCAGTAGGCAGCTGTGTAATTAGCGGAAGGGGAGGTGAGACCTGGGGGCACAATGAGATACAGGAAAGATTTTACCTTTTTAGAAGAAAGGTAATCAAACAAAGGACTTCAATAAGAACTAGAGAAGAACTTGCTCTGGAGATATTAAAAAATTACCTTACTATAACCTCTTTTTATAACATATATTTTTTACATACTCACCCTTGGCTCCTTTCCAACTTACTTGGCTATAATGGTCACTTAATGATAAAGAAAGAATAAGTCTGAATCAATACCTGATATAGCATCTGGATCTTCTCCACATAGAAGCTTCTTAAGTTTCTTACTAACCAGATCCAATAAAGTAACTGGTGTCTACAGAAAAACAAGTATTTTCAAATATTTAATGTGAATTTTTTTCTAGCCAGTAATCCAATATAGAAAAAAAAAAGAAAGAAAGAAACTCAATATTTTTGACCAATTAGTAGAGGAAGAGGATTGCAGATGGGGAGAGGGGGTGGGTAGCAGCAGGCCTCTGAATTATAAAGGGTATAAATACTTGAAAATTTTTTTAGGACTCTTATAATTCTATTTTCTACTTCCACATATGCACTATATCTGAATGTAGGTTAATCATTAGTGTAATGTTCTCCTATAATAATTAAAATTATTTGTACTTCTATAACAGCACTGGTCTAAATAATCTTACATTATAATTACATGGTCCATATGTAAATAGTAGCTCTAAAATACATAATAACATAATTCTCTTAAAAATAGATAAATACTCCCTTTCCGGTTTTGGTTATACAAAGGTAATCCCAGATTACAACACGTATCTGGGGGAAATAATCCCTCAGTTAATACTGGTACCTAGACCTACCAATGCTGAACCTCATGTCCACACAGCTCCTTCATCCTGAGCCCCAGGCTACCTTTCCATTAGCTTCTATTGCTATGACAATTTCCAAACATAAAGCTATCCCCATTAATTCACTGTCATTCATAAAAAAACTTAGTGAGTGATTGCTATGTTCCAGGACTGATGTAGATGATGAATAAGCAGATCAAGTCTGAACTCATGGTTTTACATTCCCATAGAAGAGAAAGATAATTTCAAAAAATCAGCAAATACATAATATAATTTCAGATAGTGATAAATGCCACTAAGAAAGCATAAAGAAGGGTAGGGAGCTACAGTGAAGAAGATGCATGGCTGTCTTAGTTGGGGAAGGCTTCTGTCTTTCTGAAAGGGTATCATTTTGAGCAGAGGCTTGAAATGATGTGAAGGAGTGAGCTATAAAATGATTTGGGAGATGTTCCAGACAGACAGTAGACAGCATTGGTAAAGCCCTGTAATGGGAAAAAGCTTGGCATGTTTGAGATCCCTTATTATAAACACCTCTGTCTCAATCTCCCAGAAAGACCTCATCCCCTAATCCCTAGAAAGCAGTCATCAGAGCCCCTTCTCCCTGCTTCCTGAATCCTGTACTGCCACCCCCTTCAGCTCATATCAAGTTCCTTTTCTCCCTTTGTGTCCTGCTACAAAATTTGAGCCAGGATGTTTCTTTATGACACTGCTAGTTCTGACATGAAGGGGGGAGTAAAAAAAAAAGAAAAATCCTTTATAACTTCTCAACCATATGTAGGAGAAAGGAGAATTCATTTATCCAGAGGAGGCAAGGTGAGAAAGAAGAAAGTGGAAAGGCTAAATGGTAAGGAAGAGGAGGGGACAGAAAATGTTCTGTTTAAATTCCTAGTTGGAATCTGGGAACCATTTTATAAGTAAACTATACACATGAATTTTGGTTTAGTGACTGCAGAATTAAACATTTTTGTAACCTGGGCCCTAACCTCCATTTATTACATTTTTTGATGAAAAACTAGGTGCAGAATACCTAAGGACTGACTTTCAAATGAGCTTTTAGAATATATTTCATTCAAAATTAATAAATAGGAGGCTGCTTCTATTGTATATACTTAGTATCCTCCTTTTCTCTGAAATAATGGAAAAGAAACATCAGTTAAAGTTGATGGAACTGCTACAAAATTCAAACCAATGTTTCTAATGACATGAAATAAATTTTTTAAACAGAAAAACTGAGAAGGGAACCATTCTTTATAGAGGCTTTGGAGAAATAACACTACTAAAAGTACCACTGCTGGGTACTAAAATGTGGTAGTGGGGACAAAATAATCTTTTCCTAAAATGTTTCAAAATATATCAAGAATCTGACCACATCTTACTAACTCCATTGCTACCCCTGTTTCCAGTCACCATATTTCTTGCCCAGATTATTACAACAGTCTCCTAAATGGTGTTCCTGCTTCTACCCTTCCCCTCTACAACCTGTTTTCAACACAAAAGCAGAGTTATCTTTACAAATGTCAGTCAAATGAGGCCACTGTTGTGCTTAAACCCTCCCATGATCCCCCATTTTATTCAAGGAGAAACAGTTCTCTCCAGTGGCCTACAAGGGCCCCCACCTCTCTTACCTGATCTCATACTACTCTCCCCTCTGCTCACCACTTCCATGCTGTTCCTCAGCACGCAGGCATGCATCACCCCCAGGGACTTACTCTAGGAACCATTTACTCTGCCCCAAACCACTACCCCTACACTTATGGTCATCTGGTTAACTCTCCCTCTTCTAGTCTCTGTTCAAATTTCACTTTCTCAGTGAGCACAACCTTGGCCATGCTGTTTAATACTGTAAACTCCCACTACCCACCACGTTGGCAACCCCAGAATCCCCTTAACTCACTCTTTTTGTTTTTTTCTATTACATTTACTGCCTTCCATCAAACTATGTGACAATGATGTATTGGGTGTATTTTTCTTTTTATTTTATTGTCTGTTATCCCTCACTTAGATATAAGCTCCTCCAGGTCCTGCATATTTGTGTTTTGTTTGCTAATGTATTCCAAGCACCTAGAACAGTGCCTGGCACCAAGTAACACACCACAAATGGGCTGAAGAAATAAATCAATATACTTCCAAATATCAACACTGTTTTAAATTTGCTTCCTTCTCTTTAGTAGGGAGAGAGCATTCCTTTAAACTTTGCACATTATAAGTACTCAGTTAAAAAAAAAAAAGTAAAAGTACTCAGTAAATTATTTATAAGTGAATGATTTGCTTTTTTGTTTGACACAAATAGCTTAACAATAAATGTGCCCAGGCAAAATGCCAGAGATACCTTGAAGAGCTCAGAGTGGAACTCCAGTAGAAACCAGACTAGTGTTCTGCCTGTACTTTTAATGATTTGGATTGCAAAACTGCTTTGGCAAGAGTTTTCAGGACCACCGTTTTGTTATCATACTGTAAACAGAAAGATTAACATTAGCTTGAATCATTTTTAAACAAAAAAAAAGGCAGAAAAATGTAAAATGTTATTGTAGTTTTTTTCACCTGTTTTTGTAACTTGTAGGCATTAGGTTCTGATGCAATCACCATAAAAGTAAGTAGCCGTCGTAATTCTTCTCTAATGTTGGGCAGTAACAATCTTAGGTATAGTTGTGTTGCTTCAACTGCTTCTGTTCTTTTCTCATTTTCTGTTACATGGGTTACCAAGAAAACAAAGCAAGGGCCAAAAAATTAAATGGAGACTAAAGTACTTAGGCCATCAGTTAAAATGCTGTGATGCTGTATTTGGTTTGCAGATTCTTTTTTATTTCGAAATTTTTTATTATGAAATATTTAAAACACACAGGAAACTATCTATACAATATATCAAAAATACCTGTGTAATTATAGCCAGCATTGTTAAACAGTAATTTGTTTCTAACATGAAATTATATGGCCACCTACATAGCTAAAAAAGTGACATGTTATGTCACTCAATTTTATTTTGCTCAAAGGTTGCAAAACTAATACATCAGAAATTAACATTTCCAGATAACTCAGTTCTCTAATTCTGTGCTATACTAAAAATGTTTCTTACAATGTTCCTGTGATATAATTACCTTAGATCTAATTCCTATACCATAGTATCCTATACATAGTATTACTTTTGACATTTGGCAAGCAAAAGCAGTGAAGTCAAAAAAGACTCCACAAAGTTTTGACATCATAGAAGAAACATATTAAAATGTAATACTCACATACTACATAAAATTTTCTGCAACGTGTATCTTTAAAAATGTATTAGTATGCAAAAAAAACCCACTAAAGTTTAAACATCTTATCTTACCTAAAAGTTCAATAATTCCTGAATGAATATCAAAATACTCATCAGTTAATAAGCAATCTCTTTCTTGATTATAGTATTTTACTATGACATCAAAAAGTAACTTCTTCTGTATATTCAATCTTGCTTCTTCATTTCTGTTTTGTACTAACTGCTGACTAACTAACTATGAACTGGTCAGGAAAATATTCCAAGCATTCAATTGCTGCGTTAAGCCAGTTATCAACCCTGGAGGCAAAAAACAAAGTAAAATAAATCAATGATTAACATTTCCATTTAACTACCTAAAAATATTGTTTGATAAAACATATAAAATCTAGCTTATAATTTACCAAATCTAAAGAAGAAACTATTTTTTGAGAGAATCCTTTCAATAATTTTTGCTGGATGACTGAGGGAGCAAGAGGGAATAGCTTTTTTCCTCACCAAATACCACCATACCTTTCTGTACCTTTCCTTTCAAGGAATTAAAATATTTGAGGGCCACTTTTTCATTATGTGTTTCTAATTTTGTTGGATTCTGTTCAGAGGAGTTCATCTGTACTGTTCCATTCCACTGGTGGTTCCTCTCCCTTTTCCTGCTCTGATCATTAGGTGCATATGGTTCTATTGTTATTTGAAAATAAGATACTTAATACTCCCCCATGATGATGCACTTTTTATCCCCCCACAAACTGTCTTCCCTTTTTTATCTCCCGACCCCAACAAGATAAGAAATTTAGGATCCTTTCACTCCTCCCTCCCTTCAGTGATGCCTCTAATTCCCTCTCCTCATCTGCCACCTTCCCAACCCCAGGATTTGCTGAGATAGGTTGGTATTTATTATAACTTCCCTTTATACAATGTCCCTTCTTTTTTGACATCTTATTTAGCACTTATATTTTGTACATTCTCACACAGTTTTACCATATCATCTTGGAATGTGTGTGTGTGTGCATGAGCGTGTGTGAGCATTTGTGTTTGTATGCATGCACACGTGTGGGGACAAAACTGGGGAGAAGAGAAAACAGTGAGATTGCACAGACCGAAGTTCACTGCCTACCAATATTTTCTTTCCTCTTCATCTGTCTCTATCTTGGGGTTCTGGTTATTTCTTTGTAATCTGATTAAAATCTTTCCTCAAATATTTTCCTAGGATGGGATTCCTGTGTGATATACTCTGAATTCTTGATAATCCTCAAATATCTTTCCTTCTTGCCTCCTCTTCCCTTTCCCCTTCCTTTTCATTCCTGCTCCTCCCCCGTCACAGGTGAATGGAATATATTACCTAATAGGTGTGACTCATTACCTTCTAGCTCTCTGTGTTGCAGATGAAAGAACGAATGACAGTCACACGGCATTTCTCTGGCAGATAAGCTACCCTTTCTGCCTGGAAGCTCATAAAGGCTGACTGGCTGCCATTTCCTACAGAGGCATCTAAAGAAATCCCGTTTCTTTGCTGTTGTACCTATACTCTCCCTGACTCAGGGGCTGGGGAGGACTCAACAATTTGTGGGCTCTTTCTTGGTCTATTGTGAATTAGGAGCAAACACGTCATGTGCAAAAAGGAACACGGTTGACTATCTAAGTGGTGTGAATGAAAAATGTTGCTTGCCATATCAGTAAACAAAGAATGTGCCTCCCTGAGCTTGAAGTCCTCAGAAAGTCCACCAAATAAAATATAATTCTCAACTTTTAGGTTGTGCTTTTTTTTTGTTTTTTTTCACTAGACAGGGTTCATAGATGTCTGATCACCAAGCTCTTCTTAGGATCTAAGCTTCCCGGTTTCCAGGTATAGAGTCTATTATGTTTTTCTCTCATCTGGCCATGTGGGAGAAAGCATTATATCAGTTTTCTCTGCTGGAATCCCAACAGTACCTAAGGTCTTACACCTGTGGTTCCTAGCAGCTGGTTTATCAGGAGTGACAAATATCCTGGAGTTGGGAGTGAAAGAGAAGGGAACCTCATTCGGGTTATAGGGTTCCCCAAACATCTTCCCCACAAGTGAGGGTGATTTTATGACAGGGCTTATTTCATTGTGAACTGTAGTGTTTTGTTTCATGAATGTCTCCCCTACTAGACTGTGGATTTTTTTAGGACAAGGATAAATAAATCAGTAGGAACCATGTTTGTATACAGTTATAAAATGGAAATAACAGAACTTTGGGAAAACATGCAGGGCCAGTGCAGGGAAAGAATGACTGACAAATCATGACTGAATTCATATAAATGAAATCACTCTGATTTCCAGTGATCTTCTCACAGGTCAGAACCAGTAACTTTCTAGTTTAGATTAAATGAGAATTCACACTGATTAATTTCTAAATCAAAGATGGTGGCTGCTTACACATGTGTTCTGTCTTAAAATATCAATGGCAAAATACGTGAAAGTACTTTTTAGTTACAAATTGACAATAAAAATGGTCACTTACTCAGGTAGACATAAGCTTGGAATAACCTCTCTGTCCAGGCAAGTATTTGAGATAACAAGATCTTCCTTTTTACTTAATTGAAGATTTTGTGTTTTAGCTGGAGTTTCCAAAATATTTTCCAAGAATGGAAGGTGAATCAGTTGAAGAATACGTGACAATGTTTGTTGTATCCAAACATCTTCCACAGCTTAGAAAGAAAAATAATGTAACTACCAGACTAATAAATAATATATACATATCCAATCAGCATTATAAAACTCTTCCATTTCTTATGATACAAAAGAAAAGCTACCTTAATATAACACAGTGGATTAATTTAATGCTAGGATAATTTAAATTTGCAAAATTACAATTTTTCTTTTCAAGACTGACTTGAATGGACATCAGGATTATGAGCCATATTGATTTTATTTTCTGGTTATATTGATTATAAAGTGATAGTGTCTAGCTTTTTAAGTTGATCAGTAGGTTAACTCCAAATATAAAAAGCATATAAATTTTGCATATCTGAAAGGACATGAGATCACTAATTATAATTTTATTCAAAGCAGTAGAGCTAATTGTAGTTAAATTGTTTTTAAATTAAAATACAGTATAAGGTTAATTTATTAAATTGGGTTCCTGGTCATTCATGTTAAGGGTTAATAGTTTTACATTATCCTAATCGTCAGATCATCATTAATATTTTACTTCTCTTTTAAATGAAATAAAATTATAAAAGCAACAGGTATAGTAAATCTCTTGCAGAGCTCCCAAGCCAGTAGCCTATGTATTAAATTTGGAACATAGCCAGGATTTGTTTGGCTATAAAGTATTTTGACTAGAATTAACTTATATAAAAATGGGAGATTTCATATAAAATTCTGGGTTTCAAGATTCTTTTTTAAAAAAAAAATAATAAGATCCTATAACACTGGGCTTTAACTAATGTCTGACCAAAGTCAGCTGATATAATTTAGTGGTTACCCCACTTGCACTGGCATGCCATTCCCAGCTCACCACAAACCCTACCATTTGCCATTATATCCCAAACAGTGAAGTTGAATGTCAGCTACCATCTTCGTGGTACTGTCATATTGGTTTTGCTACAGCAGAAATTAATTTCCTTACAGTTATATCTTGGCATTAATTGGGAAAAGGAAAAACAGTTGAGAGGGCCATACATTTCAAGCAAAACAACAGTATATATTTTCCCCACATGTTTGAAAATGAAGTGTTCACTGGCTTTCTGATCTGCCTGGCTCATTAAGGCATCTGAGTTTGCTACTTCTGATTTATTGGCCAAAAATAAATCAAATTAACAATCTTTTAGTGAAGACCTGAGATCAATCAGTCCACATTTGCCAATAACAACCTTTGGGCAGGGCACTGAACCAGGTGCTAGAAAAAGATATCTAAAAAATAGTGGACCTTCAGCAGCCACAGCCTATGTAAAGAGGCAAGGATAGCCAAACATGAAATGGATGAAGGCAAATTTTATCAAGTCACCAAAAAGTAAGAATAGATATATTATGAAAAAATCCAAAAGTAGAAAAAAGACTGTTCTGCAGTAGTATCAAGA